TGCTGGTTTATGCTGGTTCTTTGCTGGTTTATGCTGGTTCTTTTGCTGGTTTATGCTGGTCCTTTGCTGGTTTATGCTGGACCTTTGCTGGTTTAAACTGGTCCTTTACTGGTTTTACGCTGGTCCTTTTGCTGGTTTTTGCTAGTTTATGCTGGTCCTTGGCCAGCACATGACCAGCATAAACCAGCAAAAGGACCAGCATAAACCAGCAAAGGACCAGCATAAACCAGCAAATGCTGGTCCTTTGCCAGCAAAGGACCAGCATAAACCAGCAAAAGGACCAGCTTAAACCAGCATCCCAGCGTCAAAACATACCTAACCAGCATATGCTGGTTTTTTCAACAGGGCTGTAATAGAAATCTTCCTAATAACCAAGCACATCTGAATTTAAAGAGTGTGACCATCACACAATCACCTTAAAATTATTATTCTCCGTAATTATTAAAATGTTTGGAACTTGAAATGTTTGGGGGAAAAAAATATGATCAGAATATCCACTTGCCTAATAATTACACACTGTATATTAGCCATCCACGGATATCGCAGTAGATGCTGATACACTATTCTGAACTCAGCCTTCCTTTCCTCAATAAAAACCAGCAGAAACCCGTGCTTTTGAAATTCACAAATGACATCCTCACAAATGATTTTTTAAAAGTGATTTCCTCTAAAAGGCTAACCTCTAATCAAACTCAATCAAAGGTCAAATTAATTCTATATTCCAGTGTTTTATTCAAACGGCAAATATGTAAAAACCACTGTGAACAGGCGATACTTAAAAAAGAGCGTATTTAATGTTTATAGATCACAAACATGCTGCACAAAGCTCAGAGTACATAAAGGAACGAGCTGTTAACTTCTGAGGAAGTTATGAATGACAGAAGAGCACACACACACATTGACAAAGGCTCAGAAGTGGTTACATCTACAGATTAAAGTCAAAGCTTATGACAGATTCACAATTCCTGGTTTTATTCAGTGCAGCAGTTCTGAGTCACATTATGGCTCTTGCTTACAAAGGCAGTTACTAGAAAAGTCTTCACTGTGTTTTCAGGCTCACAAGGCTGAGGCATTTTTCGGTCAATAATGGTCACATATCCTTAAATCAACACTCACAGTTACAGATGTATCAGGGACTGATGCTTCATCTTCACAGAGCACCAGTCAGTCCTTTCAGAAGCCCTTCGAATCTAAAGCAACTGAACTGAATTAAGCTCTTAAACCGATTTAACATTCACATCAATAACTGAAAGAAGCTGCACTCAACTCAAAAGAGTTCAACATATCATTCAAATCAACTAATATTGTTCATAAAACAAAACAAAACGACTGGCCGTTAGTTTCTGCACAGCAAACACATGTAAGAGCACTTTGGACGGAATCAGTGGTTGCACTTTTCACAAATCAACATGCTACACAATCGAGCCGTAGTCTCACATTACATTTCAAAAGTTGTCCTGAGCTTCAGAAAACAAAAAAAAACAAAAAACAGCATTGCATATCACTAAAAATTAAGATGTCTCAAGCTATGAAAACTATTGGAGGAAAAAGACTACTGAAAATAATGATAATAAATGAGAACACACGTCAAACGTTTAAATAATCAAACAAAAAGCAGACAAAACAATATGCAGCCCTGTCATATTCAATCAGATATGCAGCATTTCAGCACACAAATGAAAAAGCTATCGTTTCAGGCATGTAAGCAATACTCTCAGCACGCTTATTACACTCCTGCATTCAGTGCTCAGGCACGTTCTTCAGTCTTCAGGCGGAGACGCTTTATCTGGAGTTGTAGTCTGGTGAATACAAGCGCAATCTTGGGCTTGCCTTCGTGTCTGAAGAAGACATGCTGTTGTTGAAGGGGCTTTCAGTCAGCTTCGCTACACCTGCAGAAACAGCAGCATCTACAAATGAGTGCTCAACTCAACATCAGTAAGTCAAATCCACAGAAAATCACTACCACTCCTAAACACCAGAAGAAACAATAACAACGCGAGCATGTGGAGAGTCATTTCTCTCTGTGTGTAGCACCTACAACTCTGCACACACTTCTGAGGAAGTCCATAAGAAATCAGCATCCTTCCCCAAAGTCCCTGATTAATTCAGACTGATGTTAGTTTATTATGCAAACAATAATATATGATTTCTTTAACTGAAATAATGAACATTCATTAGCGTCCTATATTGCATAGCAAAAATAAAAGTTAATGTTCAGTTCAGCTGTTTGAATTATTCAGGTTATGTTTGGTTATGTTCTTGCATGAGTGTTTTCCAGATGCATGCACCTGCAGGAGGCGGAGTCTTCTGGATGAACGCAGGATGACTGACAGGATCTCTCGGGGAAAACAGTGCATGGCACACTACACAAACATATACGATGATATTAATATTGAGGAACAATCACTGTCCGGAAACCCATTATGCATGATACTGAAACGTGTTGGGCAGGATGTGGAAGCATTTACCGATGATGACAACAGCAGTGGCAGCCAAAAGAGCGAATAAAGTGAAGAACATCACTTGATAGGAGTCGATGAACTGCTGAAGAATATTGGGCCCGTCCGCTCCATCTACTATATGTGCTACGAGAACAGTGAAGCAGCATGGGTCAGTATTTAAGAAAAAAAATAAATAAAAACATTAAAGGGCTTATGGCATGGATTTTTTTTTATTAATGTTCCTTGAGGTTGACTTATAATGATAATAAAGTTTTTTGCACAAAAAAATATATATATTCGCAAAAATCATCTTTTTAAACCCTCATTCTGGCCCAGTGACTGAAACTATCGGTCCTTCCTTAAGGCTTGTCAGTAAACGGCCACTGTTATGATTGGCCAACATCACTGTATTGGGAAAAAGTATCAATGCCCACCACTACTTCATGTGAATAAGTGTTTTGAAAACATTATCCATATAAAACTGTCATTTTATTATGAAACTGTTTACTTGTGGTTTGTAATGCAACTGCTGTCAGATCCAATACAGTTGGCTCTCCTCTATATTTCAAGTTCAGTTCCTTCACAAACTGTACATTATGCCTTATTTAAAAAACAATCTGCAGTGAAATGCTCCAAAGAACATATGTGACCCTGGAGCACAAAACTAGTCATAAGGGTAGATTTTTCGAAATTGAGATGTATACATCAGCTGAAAGCTGAATACATAAGCTTTCCATTGATGTATGGTTTGTTAGGATAGGAACCGACCCCATACTTTTAAACAGAGGTATAAATTCAGATGAAATAACATATGTGACCCTGGAGCACAAAACCAGTCATAAGGGTAGATTTTTCGAAATTGAGATGTATACATCAGCTGAAAGTTGAATAAATAAGCTTTCCATTGATGTATGGTTTGTTAGGATAGGATATTTGGCCGAGATACAACTATTTGAAAATCTGGAATCTGAGGGTGCAAAAAAATCAAAATATTGAGAAAATCATCTTTAAAGTTGTCCAAATGAGGTTCTTAGCAATGCATATTACTAATCAAAAATTAAGTTTTGATATATTTACGGTAGGAAATTCACAAAATATCTTAATGGAACATGATCTTTACTTAATATCCTAATGATTTTTGGCATAAAAGAAAAATCGATAATTTTGACCCATACAATGTTTTTTTGGCTGTTGCTACAAATATACCTGTGCTACTTAAAAGACTGCTTTTGTGCTCCAGGGTCACATATAATCTTCCATCATGATCAGGACGCCGTTAAAAATAAACCATCCCACTTGTTCCTGACGCTGAGATCCTTCTGAAGGATCCCTTTTAACCATCAACATGCCTCTCACAATGCTGTCAGAGAGACGTTGAGGAACAAACCTTGCACAGAAGAGCTGCTGGCTGCTAGATGCATGACAGACACCGGGATGTGCAGCACCTGAGCACTGGACGCGCTGCTCACAGACACGGACGCCGTCAGCGCTCCCTGCGGCCTCTCCACACTGACCGCATACCTGATGAAGCTGGGAAAGCTGAGAGAAACCTCCTGCTCCTCGATCACAACCGCAGGAGAACTGCTCTTCACCTGAACACCAGAAAGAGCCAGTCACACGCACATCTGCTGAGCACAATAACACAAGGCCGTATGTCTGCTTCTGACATTGGTGGAGACATAAGAGCATGTCCTCTAAACTCTTCATGCATAGCTTATGGTAGCTAATGTTAGTAGGCTATGCTTTACAGATAATAATTACACAATTCTGATTTTGTGAACCAACAACATTCCAGCAGCATCAGAGCGCTGGGTGTCTTAATCACGCATAAGTTTATTTTAATATGAATCGAATTGGACCCAGGATGATTCTGAAAGAAAACCCTATCACATTATTACATTTAGTCATTTAGCAGACGCTTTTATCCAAAGTGACTTACAAATGAGGACAATAGAAGCAATCAAGATCAACAAAAGAGCAATACATGTAAACATGTCAATATTAATCATTAAGTGCCATGTTAATACCACCGATTCATTTACATAGTTCCATAATTTCCATCTATTCTCATTTCAATTTCAAAACTCTTGGTCAACAATCCACAATAATTGCTCAAAAAGTTGACAGAAGTCTCATTATTAAAAAAATAAATAAATGAATAAATAAATGTGTAACACTGGTTAAAGTTAAAATTAGTATTACATTTTTGTGAAAACCTAGTAGTTATCACATTATAGGTGTCCCAAATTATTGTTAATGTACATAATGACTTCAGCTGTCTTTCTGTCTGTATGCTTTATATATAGAGAGCTAATAATAGCCATAGATTGCGCTTTCTTCTTCTGTTTGCTCTGCTTTGTCAAACACCCTACTTCAAACCCATCCACGCAACTTTGTTCATTCCTGAAGTGAACTTTTATTTTAATTGTTTTGGACTGCTGTCTTGCACTGGGTGCAATACCTGAGAGTTGTTCTAAACGCAGCGCTGCGCTTCTCGTCCATGTATTAAATGCACGTCCTTGAAAGCGCGCCGTTTTACAACGTATTTACTTTAACTTTTTAGGTAATAATATCAATGGTATGACATATTTCAGATGCGTCCGAAATTACAAAAACATATACATATGTGACCCTGGACCACAAAACCAGTCATAAGGGTCAATTTTTTTAAATTGAGATTTATAGCTGAATAAATAGCTTTCCATTGATGTATGGTTTGTTAGGATAGGACAATATTTGGTCGAGATACAACTATCTGAAAATCTGGAATCTGAGGGTGCAAAAAAAATAATTTAAAAAAATCGCCTTTAAAGTTGTCCAAATGAAGTTCTTAGCAATGCATATTACTAATCAAAAATTAAGTTTTGATATATTTACAGTAGGAAATTTACAAAATATCTTCATGGAACATGATCTTTACTTAATATCCTAATGATTTTTGGCATAAAAGAGAAATGTATAATTTTGACCCATACAATGTATTGTTGGCTATTGCTACAAATATACCCCAGCAACTTAAGACTGCTTTTGTGCTCCAGGGTCACAATTTATTAGGGCTAAACGTACTAAATGTTTCTCATTAAAATTTAATTAAACCATTAAAATAGAAAACACAGAATTTGGTTAAATAAATAAATAAAATTTGGGGGAAAAATAAATAAATAAAATGGATTTCATAGGGCCCTATTGAAAGAATAGGCGCATTTCTCATCATATCCCACTAAACGCACACACATACTCGTCTCTAAATGGAGCACATTCACACAGCTCAAAGGTAGGAGCATGAAGGATGCTCTGCTTAGTCAAGGGCAGAGCGTCCATTAGCACTTGTGCGGCTTTTCTGTTTGTTTTGTTGGTTTATGTTGTATTGCATTGTCATTGAGAGATAGCAGGTGTCATTTGAATATTCTTTCAAGCAGAAATGCACTGTCATAAAGCTCACTCCACAGAAACGGAAATGAGCGAGCGTTTCTCTTTTGACATTCCTCTGATAAGGTAATCAATGAACCATAGCTGGTCATTGAGTGGAAGGTGTGTGTGTGTGTGTGTTCAATACTAAAAGCTTCCTGTCACTGACAAGTTCATTGTATGAATTTGCTGTTCCTCATTTCATTGAAGAAGCTCTTACATGGGAAACCATTTTTGACAGGTTAATTTAACATTTTAAGACCGAATAGATTTGATTGCTGGATGGAATCACTAATGAGTTGTCGAGATATTTTCAGGGCCTTGATAACAGCACGAAAGCATGCATTTATCATTTATTTAGATTAGAAAACAAAAATAGCTTTGCATTTGTACAAAATTATAATATTTTGGATTTGAAATTAAATAATTGATTTAATTTGAGATTGCTAGATTTAGTTGTATAATATTTATTTGAATTCATTTATTTGAAGTATTTGTTTTAATTAGAAACAAAATATTGAAGAAAGTGGCTTTTGTTGTAAAAAAAAAAAAAAGGTTGACTTTTCAAGCAAAAAT